CTATATTTCTGGTAAACTTGTGCTCATATGTAACAGCCACAGCTTTGGGTTTAAACCCTTGAATCGCACTTTGATTTCGATTAAATCATTTGATATGTGAACTTTTAACACATTCCAGTGAATTTTAACAAGGCATTCAGTCGAATCCTAAATACACTTCCCTTTATCATAAGTTTAATCAGGACAACTTTAAATCAAATAATTCTTTAAAAATCAGCGGCGAAATATTTTAACAAGATGGAATACCAATGCATTTTCCCGAAAATTCAATCTCTCATCGTATACACGAGTTTTTTATCACATTTTACTCTCAGCGAAGCTTGAAAATTATGTTGTTTGTTTTAATTTCAAAATGCCAGTCATAATCGTTGTTTAAGTGTAATACAGCATTTCCTTGTATATGGAGAGATGCTTGGTATTGAAGAATTCCTTATTAGGTGGTATCAGTGACACACTATAAATCTTGGTGCCTCGTGACGTCCTTCAACTGGTAGAGAGCAAAAGTCTACTATTAATATGATAGACTTTATGTTTGTTTGAAGAAGATACAATAAAATTTCACCATTTACTTGGTACCATTTGAAGAGAGAGTGGACGCCCTGGAAGTTAGTATGGATGAATTGGATAAATTTGGTCACTTCACTTGTAGCTTGTAGTTACATAACGGCAAGGAAAAAGGTAATCCAGCTTCTGGTTCCGTACGGATGTGCATATGCGTGTGTGCGCGTCATGGATATCCAGAAGCATGCATATTTACACATGTGAATGCAAGAAGTCACTTGTCCGCCTCCGAAACGTTTGCAGACGACAGTCTAACTCTAGGAGTGTGACGATGCAGAATAAGATCAGCCGGACTAGCTCTGAGGGATTCACACATTTCCTCAGTCTCCTCTTCCTCATCCTCATCTTCGTCTTCCTCATACCCCTCTTCGGCTGCGGGACAGCAGCGCGCTTCTGGGCAGCCCAACATACCAGAAGGCTCAGCTTCCTCTGAAAGTCCAAAACTACCCACGCTTCCGTTACCGACATTGCAAACGCTACCCAACAGTCCTGACTTAATGATATCCTTCTTGGACCGCGAATAAGTTTCCGTCAGCTGTTGGCGTTCCTTTTTCAATTTCATACGACGATTTTGGAACCAAATCTTCACCTGAACAACAGACATCAATGTGAAAGGTTCGGGTGAAGGATAAAACATAAAGGGGATACAAAAAAGTTACAAGTGACCATGAAGAATAGCAAACTTTATAACCAAGTATTAATTAAAATGTTTCATTTTAAACATTACTTAGAACCTCAATTAATTAAAAAATATATATATATTAAATAATTTTGTTCAAGTTAAAATTCAATTTAATCTCCTACGTGATAATTCAACTATTGCGAAACCTCAACTTTCTTCATAAAAGCCAAAAATAATTTCAGTTCCCTCCAACTATTTTGGATAATTTACCGTTGCTTACAAAGCTAAAGGAAAACTACATTTCTGGTAAACTTGTGTTTATATGTAACAGCCACAGCTTTGGGTTTAAACCCTTAAATCGCTCTTTGATTTCGATTTAAATATTTTATATGTGAACTTTTAACACATTCCAGTGAAGTCAAGTATTTGACAATAGCAACATGATACTGACGAGAAATTAGACCGATAAACTTTCTTCTGATAAAAATGCGGTACTGGT